ACGCCGCGTTGCCAATGCATCGCGCAAGCTGGCGTTGACGACTCGTGCCCAATTTTCCAAAGAGCGCCCCGCGGTGCAATGGTGAATTGGTCTGCGCAGCCCCTCGAGCCACAATGAGTGCGAGGGAGCGCGCGCGCGGAACTCGCAAAGGGGGGGCCCCCCTTTAGCCCCCCCCCCCCCCCCTGGCCCCCCTGCAGGGAGCTAGCCCCCCCGCTCCCCCCTTTTTGTGGTCCCCCCCCAGAAGGCTCCCCCCTTTCCCCCTCTTCTGCCGCCCAGAAGCTATCCCCCCCTTCCCCTCCTTTCCAAAGGGTGGGAAGGGGCTTCGCTACCCCCACCTTTGGACCCCCCCTGCTGAGAGCTGCCCCCCCCCCCCCCCCCCCTTCCTCCCTTTTTGCCCCCCTGGAAGCTAGCCCCCCCCCCCCCCCTTCTGTCGCCTTCCGGAAGCTACCCCCCTCCTTTTCCAATAGGGGGTTTAGCTATACCCCCCCCCCCCCCCCCCCCCCCCCCCCCCCCCCCCTCCTCTCTTGCAACCCCCCCTGCTGGAAGCTACCCCCCCCTTGAACTCCCCCTGCCGGACGATCCCCCCCGTCGCCGTCGTCGTTGCTGTCACCGTCGCTCGACGTCTTCGTACGACGCCGCCGTCGTCCTCGTCGTCGTTGTCGCGGCCGTCGCCGTCTTCGCATGACCTCGTCGTGGTCGTCACGACGAGGGCGAGGTCATGCGAAGACGGCGACGGACGACGGGCGACGCGCGACCGACGACCGACGACGATCCATGGTCAAACAAAAACGAGAGACCACGACCCAAAGGCCCAAGGGTTGAGAAAACGAGGGAACCAAGCAGGGTCCGAGAAAACGAGACCACGGCACAGGGCCCGAGACAATCAACGAAACAAGCCTGGGCTCCAAAAAACGAGCCAAGGTCAGAGAAAACGAAGCCAACGAACCAGGGCCCGATAAAACGAGACCACGACCCAGGGGCCGACAAAACGAGACACCGAGAAAACAAACCAGTGCCCGAGAAAACGAAACCGCGACCCAAGGGGCACAGAAAACGACACATCGAGAAAACGAACCCAAACCCGATAATTCAAAACAAAAAACCAAGAAGCCAAGAAAACGATAAAAAAACGAAACAATGAACCAGGGTCGCACGAACTGGTGTCCGTATAAGAGCCGCGGCGCCCCGCACTGCAACGCTGGCGAACAGCCCAGCGCGGACAGCAGCTCACGCCATGCTGTTGACAGTCGGACCCAAGCCAAAGGAAAATCCCCCAGGAACATGAGGCCCTCCGTCGGCCAAAGCGCAAAGAACATCCAAGGGTGCTCTATCATGCCGCCCACTGGCAACGAGCGCGGGCGCGAGCTCGACTCGCCCTGAACTCCACGGCGGCAGAGGCCGCAATTGGCCGGCACATGAGCACGTCTCGCCCTGAAACTCCATAGCGGCAGAGGCCGCAAGTGGCCGGCCAGGTAAACGTCGCCACAGTCAAGGAGGAGGGGGAAGAAGGAAGAAAGGAGGAAGGGGAGGAGGGAAGGCATTGCGCTGGACTAACCAATGCCGCGGCATACGCAATTCGCACCAACGCGCGGGCGGGCAAGGCCAGCCGTCGCCAGGGAGAGCCGGGAGGGGGAAGGAATAGAAACGGAAAAAGACGGGCGGGCGGGGGCGGGGGAGGGGCGGTAGTCGTTGCGTCGTCAACCGGAGGCTGCCCCTACCGCCGCCGCCGCCACCGCTGGGGCCGCCGCAGCAGCTGCCGCTGGGCCGCGGCGCCGTCCCCTGGGACAGCGCCAGGGTGTCCGCGCCTCTCGGCCACGGCCGCGCCCGCGGGCTCGTCGACCGAGTCGTCCTCGTCGACGGCCAGCGGCGTGCACGCGCGCGCGCCATGCGGGCTGCGCGGCGCCAGATGCTGACGGCGATCCGAATCTGCACGCGGCGCAATTCCGCATGCGCCTCCGTGCACCGCCGCCTCGCGTGCGCCCAGGCAATCGACTGCAGCGTCCTCAGGAACTCGTCGTGGAAGCGGCCGAAGGCGCTCGCAGCCAAGACCCGATACTCGATTCCGCTGTCCTCGAGCTCGCTCCGGAAGCCATCGGCTCGGCGCTGCTTCTGGCGCACCATCGTCTCCGCGCAGTCGTCGCCTGCTCCCGCCGCCATAGGCGCAATGATTCCCTCATCCAATGCCGCCAGGCGCCCGGACGGATCTGGGACGCAGGTCAGAACGTCCGCAGGGCGGAGCATTGAGCGTGAGCTCACGAGGCCTATCGGCTCGAGCTCTGTGCTGCCATCGACAGCGCTGGCGAATGCATACAGGTCGTCACGGACTGCATTCTCTCCGGCATTGCAGGGGCCTTTGGCGCAAAGGAGCCCGTGGCTGCCGGACGGGCCAATGATGCACTCGCCGCAGTTGGCGCACACCACCTCCTCATCATCGGGGGCCCCGCGCCGAGGCGGATGTGGACGGCGAGGGCGAACTCGTCGCTGGTCATAATCCGCCCCTTGTGCGGGGAGATGGCCCACACCCAATCATGGCATTGGTTCGGGTGGCAGAGTTCCTGGAGGCGGTGCGCTGCGTCGGTGTCCCCGCTCGCTCGCGCTCGGGAGAGGAGCCCAGTGGCCACTGTGCGCGGTCCGCCACTCTGGTGAGGTCGCGCTGGAGGCGCAGCGCGCCGCGGCCCCAAGGGGCGGCCGGGTGCTCGGGGTCCTCCGCGCCCGTCAGCTCCGGGCTCCTCCTCCTCCTCCTCGCCGGCGCACCAGCTCCGCCAGCGGCGCTCTGCCAGCGCGGCTGCCTCTTCGAGGTGGGTGCGCGCGGCGTCGTGGACGCCGGCAGGGAGGACGTCCCGCCACCTCTGCGCCGCCGCGTGCGTGCG